GGGAAATGGTGTTAGTTTTTGTCTATTGAGTATGATGTTGGCTGTGGGTTTGTCATATATGGCTTTTATTATGTTGAGGTATGATCCTTCTATTCCCACCTTGCTGAGAGTTTTTATCAAAAATGGGTGTTGGATTTTGTCAAATGCTTTTTCTGCATCAATTGATATGACTGGTTTTTTTCTCTCAATTTGTTTATGTGCTGTATCACGTTTATTGATTTGCGGATATTGTACCATCCTTGCATCCCCAGGATAAATTCTGCTTGGTCATGGTGTATGATCTTTCTGATGTACTGCTGTATCCGATTTGCTAAGATTTTGTTGAGGATTTTGGCATCTATGTTCATGAGTGATATTGGCCTGTAATTCTCTTTCATTGTGTTGTCTTTACCTGGTTTTGGTATTAGGGTGATGCTGGCTTCATAGAATGAGCTTGGAAGTGTTCCTTCCTCTTGGATTTTTTGTAGTAGTCTGAGGAGGATAGGTTTTAGTTCTTCCTTGAATGTTTGCTAAAACTCCCCTGTGAAGCCATCTGGCCCATTGGCTTATTTTTAATCTTTCCTCTCCTACCAGTCAAAAGGCTATGGTTAGTCTTATTACTCTTTCAAAGTTTCTTTATTCACATCATAAGAAAATATACTCTGATTCTGCACATCCTTATCTCTCTACCTTGTTTGACTAAATGCCCTACTGCCTCTGTGCTTCCTTGATTTTAATCACATTAGCTTGGACATACATTTGTTCTTCATTCACAGCTGCCCAGATTGTCTATGGCATTTTGTATGTCTCTGAGTTTAATTTGTCTTAAAAAAAAAAAAGACACATCTGTAGGATTACTAAGAGGAAATGTGTTTGTAATTTTTCGGTACATATTGACACAATGCCTTTTATAACTTTGTGCTAATTTACACATCCACCTGCAATGTATAAAGTGTCTGTTATTCCTAGTAATACTGTTTTATCAAACTTGTCAAATCTCTGCCAGATGAAAGGGGGCGTGTCTAGTTGCTGAGGATTGGGAATATAGTTCTCATGCTGAATTTTTGACAATTTGGTTTATGTTTACTGCCATTGCTAATACTCTCCAAAATAGGCCTTTTCAGAGTTATTCGCATGTCCCTTTGGTTTTCAAGTTTTGCATTTTGTTTGAGTGGATAACATTAACTCAGTGTCTTTTTGGTTTCTTGTATTTTTGAAGGCTTTGGCACATCTTCCTCATCTTCAAACCCAGCATCCTCATCCTTCAAATTTGGTATACCATCATCCTCTTCTGAGCCTTCTCAGACTTTACCAAGCACTGGAAATTTTAAATTTGGAGACCAAGGAGGCTTTAAAATAGGTATGTCATCAGATTCTGGGTCTTTAAACCCCATGAGTGAAGGCTTCAAATTTTCTAAACCAGTAGGAGATTTTAAATTTGGAGTTTCATCTGATTCTAAACCGGAAGAAGTTAAAAAGGACAGTAAGAATGATAATAATTTTAAGTTTGGACTTTCTTCTGGTTTAAGCAATCCAGCTTTAGCCCCATTTCAGTTTGGGATGACTAATCTTGGGCAGCAAGAAAAGAAAGAGGAACTGCCTAAAGCTTCATCTACAGGCTTTAGTTTTGGTACGGGTGTTATTAACCCCACTCCTGCTGCTGCTGACACTGTGGTGACCTCTGAGAACAAGAGTAGCTTCAGCTTTGGAACTATCGAAACCAAGAGTAGCTCAGTGGCTCCTTTCCCATGTAAGACGTCAGAAGCGAAAAAAGAAGAAATGCCTGCCACCAAAGGAGGGTTCCCTTTTGGCAATATGGAACCTGCCCCTCTGTCATCTGCCTCATTGTTTGCTTTGGGAAGGACAGAAGAGAAGCAAGAGCCTGTCACTTCTACTTCTCTTGTGTTTGGGAAGAAAGCTGACAATGAAGAGCCAAAGTGTCAACCAGTGTTTCCCTTTGGGAATTCAGAGCAAACCAAAGATGAGAGTTCTTCTAAGTCAACCTTTAGTTTCAGTATGGTAAAACCATCTGAGAAGGAGTCTGAGCAGCCAGCAAAGGCCACTTTTGCTTTTGGAGCTCAAACCAGTACTACAGCTGGTAAGTACTAAACATTTTCTTTTACAAGGTGTCTTTGATATCTCAGAAAGTCAAGGAATGGTTTACACTAAACATGTGAGAGAGACTAGTAACAGAACTCTCAGGAAAGTAATCTAGAATTTTCAGCTTTAATTTCTCCAGTCCCTCATGATTTTAATGATTTACTGATCTAATTTTGAGAAAAACAGTTCTAATGGAAAGCCCACAATGTTGCACATTTGTTTGTGTCTTTCTCCCTTCTGTGAGCTTTATAATCAGAATTGGCATATACTATTCAGGAAAATAGGCATTCTTTCTTATGCACATGAATATTTTCTAACTAATGAAATTTTTATATGTAGGCTTTCATTTACAAATAGAGATAACCAGTCATTATCAGCCATGTAAGGGAACATAGACAAATATAATTAATCTCTGAGAAATAGGCAATTATGAAAACTTAGATTTTGAAGAAAAAAATGAAATAGCATTTTTAAATGTTAATGAAACAAAATCATTTTATGGACTGAGGAGCAGAAAAAACATAGTTGGTAATCAGATTAGTGAACTGGAATTTTTCAGGGCACAGTGCAAAAGTACAGAGAGATTGATTCAAGCTAGATTCACAAGTGACATTGGAATAAGAATGCTTAGAAGATGAGAGCGTGAAGGAACTGTCAAAAAAGTGATAGAAGAAAATTTCCTAGATGTAAAGAGAGACATTGGTCTTAAAAATGGAAGTAGTCCACTCATTGACAAAAGCCAGTAAAATTTCATGACACCAAGCCAAAATCCTGAATGCTTTCAGAGAGAGAAAAAAGCTGTTTGCCACGAATAAAGTTATATTAGCATCAGACTTCCATTTTGTAACATCAGATGCTAAAAACAGGGCAGTGTTCTCAAAGTGAAAATGGGCTTTGAACCTAGAATTCTGTAACCAGCCAAATTTCATCAAACATAAAGGCAAAATATAGATGTTTTCAGATAAGCAGAGAATCAAGTTGAACACCCATGTCCATTTTGGAATAATAAATTGGAAACACAATCAAAATAAAAATTAAACCTAAAAAACAGTATGAATACAACAAATAGATGTGAGTTTTTTGTGTATTGAATTTTTACTTGGAAATTTAAAAACACCCTTTAAAGAAAATAAAAGCTAAATTATATATTATTTGGAAAGGAATAAAAATTAGATAGGGTTTAACCAAATTTAATCATGGGCTTTTTCTATACCAGCGGTCGCCAATCTTTTGGACCTCGTGGACCACCGGTTGGCAACCGCTGCTCTATACTGTTTCCATTGAAATAGACCTCTTAACCCTCCTCTATACTGACTTGAAAGTGAGCTAAAATTTTAGCTCCATTTTCCTAACCCATGCTAATGCCCTTACAATAAAGTGACCAGCCATGTCTAGTAGACCATATTGAAACTGAGACATTATTGGAACAGTTTCCAAAAAAAGTCTTCAATAAGGTGATTGGATTCAGGATCATCATATAAAAGTCAATAGCTTTCCTCCAAAATCAGCAGTAAAGTGTTGGACAACATATTTCATTTGTATTTTCTAACATTTTAAATTTGTACTTTATAAAAGCTACAGAACCTGTTACATGCTAACATAATAAAAACATATATAATACTTGTTCCTGAGTGAGAATATTTCTCTCCCTCCCAGTCCCAACCCCCAATATAATTTAAGTTCTTAGAGGAATTGTTGTGGATCTTGAAGTTTATATAGAAGGAAAATGCACAAAAAATTTTGGGGAGAAGGGCAGGCACACAGATAGGTTTGCCTTACTAAATATCAAACCATACTGTCAAGCTATAATAATTAAATCAATTTAGTAACAATAACTATATCAGAAACATATTTGGAATTTAATATGTCATATAGGTGAGGAAAGAATGCGCTAGTCAATACATGCTGCAGGAAAATTAGCTATCATTTGGTTAAATTGAAGTTTTAATCCTGCTAACATAAGTTGCAAATCATATTTATAAAAGTAAATACGATTCAGGTATCTTCCACTGTCTGAATTTGTTATCCAAACACAGTATCTATACAGTTAAATTTGGATATAAGGCATATTTTTAGTAATCTGAATGATGAAGATTTTCCTATTAAGACAAAATCTATAAAAGATGAATGTATTTGACTACATCAAAATTTAATATAACAGATATGCCCATTTGATGAATAAATTTATATATACATATATGTAGTATATATATTTTAAATATTTTTATTGATTTCAGAGAGGAAGGGAGAGGGGGAGAGAGATAGAAACATCAATGATGAGAGAGAATCATGGATCGGCTGCCTCCTGCACACCCCCAATGGGGATCAAGTCTGCAACCTGGGCATGTGCCCTTGAGCAGAATCGAGCCCAGGACCCTTCAGTCCGTAGGCCGATGCCCTATCCACTGAGCCAAACAGGCTAGGGCACAAATGAATCTGTATTAAAAATGTCTGTTTTCTAATGACTTCTTAGATTGTAGGATAGGAAAAAATGCTTTCTGTGATTACTTGTTCTTACAAATTTTTGTTTGTTTCTTAATTTTCGTCATACAGATCAAGGTGGAGCAAAGTCAGTTTTTAGTTTCTTGAACAACAATTCCTCTAATTCAAGTACACCAGCCACTTCAGCTGGTGGCAGCATATTTGGTAGTTCCACCTCTTCATCCAGTGCACCAGCGAGTGCCTTTGTGTTTGGACAGGCCAACAATCCTGTGAGCAGCTCTGCCTTTGGTAACCCTGCTGAATCCAGTACATCTCAACAATCTTTGCTGTTTCCTCAAGAGAGTAAACCAGCAACCACATCCAGCTCGGGTACAGCTGTTACCCCATTTGTCTTTGGTCCAGGAGCCAGCAGTAATAATACTGCAACCTCTGGTTTTAACTTTGGAGCTACAACCACATCTAGCTCTTCAGGTACTTTTAAAAAGAACAAAAAAACCATTTGTGTACTTGGATTGGCCTTAATTATGAGTATATCAACTCTTAGGAATTAATATGGCAGCTTATTACAAAATGACATGGGTGCCTTTACCTATTCTATACTAGGGATGTTGTAGTTATTCACTCTAAGGTGTATATCTTGTGTTTAAGTTTAATATAATTAACTCTTGAGAGCAATTTTTCTAATTTCAGCAAGAGTGTTATTTTAGTTTTTGCAAGTAAGTAACCAGACATGGGTTATTTTATGAGACATTAGTCCTCATTGTGCAGTGTGTACATGATACAACATTAGCTGATTTCTGCATGTGTTAAATTTCTGATGAGGTTAGTTGTTGTCTTCGATATATTCCATCTAAAATTTTTTTACTATGAAGATGGGTAGTTTTGTTAATAGTTTTTTTGTTGGTGTTATTTTTTTATTAATCCTCACCAGACACTTTTTCCATTGATTTTTAAAGAGAGTGGAAGGGAGGAGGGGGAGAGACAGAGAGAGAGACACATCGATTGGTTGCCTATTGTATGAGTCCCTACCGGGATTGAGCCTGCAACTAAAGTACGTGCCTTTGACGGGAATCGAACCTGAGACCCTTCAGTCTAAGGGCCAACGTTCTACCCACTGAGCCAAACCGGCTAGGGTAAAGTTTTTGTTTATATGGATTCTGTGTAGTTTTGCTAAACAATGATAGAGATTTGCGTTCTTACAATTCTTACAATCATTATTCAAAACTTGGTGGGATTTTTTCCAGCAGGGTAAGAATCTGAAAGGAAGCTTTGAATTTGTTTTTGGCTTCTTAGAGATTTCTTGAGAATTATCTCTAACTATCCTGGTGATTTACATAATTCTTTGGGCCTGTAGGATGCTCCTTTGTGTTTGGCACTGGACCTTCAGCACCATCTGCCAGTCCAGCATTTGGTGCTAACCAGACCCCAACATTTGGACAAAGTCAAGGTGCCAGCCAGCCAAATCCCCCAGGCTTTGGATCTCTGTCATCTTCAGCAGCTTTATTTTCTGCTGGTTCTCAGCCTGCACCACCTACTTTTGGGACAGTGTCAAGCAGTAGCCAGCCTCCTGTGTTTGGACAGCAGCCTGGTCAGTCTGCATTTGGCTCTGGAACAGCTCCAAATTCCGGTGAGTGTGTGTACTAGTTATGTACTTTGTATCTGTACTTAGGTTTAGTATGTCTTACATATGACATTTTTCTTTGAACTTTGAAACATGCATGCCTTTCTTTAATTGTCTGTCCTACTCAGTAGACTAGAGAAGTGTATGTTTAGTCTTACCTATAAACCACATTCCCAACTTTGGCACATTAAGCATCTTTTAACTCTTTGAATTAGATATTGGATTCATCCCATCCCATTTCTCCCCTTCTGTATTTTGGGGCATTCTAGCCTAGATTTCAACTGTGGTGTTTTCTAATCCTCTTTGTGATCAAATTTACTTCAGGAATTTATGCCTCAGCTCTAGTACTCTTCCTGGGACAGTCCAGCCGAATTGTCTCATGACACTTCCTATTTGATGACACAAACCTTTTCACTTGTATATTTAAACAAATGTTTCTGTGTTTGTTCTTTTAATATAGTTAATCACATGTATTATACAGGGTGGGGCATTGTTACTTATTAATTGTGTTATTTTCCATTGGAACATTTGCCCCACCCTATAATGACATATACAGTCACACTGTACAGTTAGATTAATATTCTGAGTATGCAAATACCATGTGGTCTACTGGGATTATTCCCACACAAAATTTTGTTTTCTCTGGCATTAATGATTCCCCCTTTGTTAATGATTCCCTCTTTGCATAGATCTCTTCTCAATATTTTCAAGTGCATTGGCTGTTTTTCAGGATCTGAAAGAAGTTTCCCAGGATTTTCTAAACTGCTCCTCCCACCAGGCTTTCTATAGAGGCTTACTATTTAACTGAAGTCTTGGGATCCTTTTTACCAATTATCTTGGAGATTCCCTGTAGCTTTTTCTTAAAAAGCATCTCTCTTTCCTTGGTGTCATCTTCTTCCCACTTCCATGTTTTGATAGAGCAGACCTTCCAGTGATTTTTTTTTTAAGTACTCAGGGAAGAAAATTTTGAGACCATACATTTCTGGAAAGATCATTATTTTGCTCCCATGTTTGGTAAGATTTTTGGTGGAATATAGGTTTAGATTGGAAATCCTTTTGATAATTTTGAAGGCATTTCTCCATTGTGGACTTCCTGAAGATCCACAGTGGAGAAAATACTCGGTTTTCTTTAAGTGGTCATAAGAGAGCTTAACCCTTTACTGTATTTTGCATTAAAGGGCAGAGTCATTTCTAGAAAAACTGTCACTTTTATCTTAATGTTTTTTTGCTTTAACTATTGTAGGTTCAGTTTTCCAATTTGGCAGCAGCACTACAAATTTCAATTTCACAAACAACAGTACGTCAGGAGTATTCAAATTTGGTGCAAATCCGAGCACACCTGCAGCCCCAGCCCAGCCTTCTGGCTCAGGGGCCTTTCCATTTAATCAGCCGTCAGCGTCATTTACAGTGGGGTAAGAGACTTTTTGTTGAAATGGAGAATTTAGCATGGTAAGGACGTGTGCTTGTGCATGAATGTGTGTGTGTTCTCTGTTTTTAAAAGCACCAACGTGCAGTGTAGTTCAGGTAAAGGCAAGTATGTTCTCTAATATCAATTTACCATATTATAGTGTGGGAGGATCATAGCCTGAAAAAAAGAGCTGGGTGTGTATGTGTCCTGTGCGGCAGGAAATTTGTTTACTTGAACAATGTCTCTTTTCCCCCCTTGTCACTGGTCACATTTAGAGTTATATTATGACTCTAAAATTTTGTGCATCATGTCACATTTTGAAGTTTTTATTTTTCACAGGTCAAATGGGAAAAATATGTTCTCTTCTTCTGGAACTTCAGTTTCTGGTCGCAAGATAAAGACTGCTGTTAGACGCAGGAAATAAATGTTGCAGTGGTGGTATACACAAGTTTAACAAAAGCTGGTGTCCTGCTTTTAGATACTGGATTGTACTACATGCTGGAGTTACCTGAAGTCAATCTGCTTAAGGACTTCTTTGATTTTGGAATTTTCCTCTTTGTTTCTTTACAAAAGCCCTGCCCTCACCTCTCGCCATGCCCTTTAAAAATAAATAATAGACTGATGACTGATTCTTCAGCGAAAATATTTTATGATCCAGCAAATTATTCACTGATTTGGCTTAGGCTGGCTGAATTCAGGAATGGAGCCCGCTCAGTGAATGGCTTTGTATAGAACCTCTTCGTCTGCACCATTATGTGCGTTGATACGCGTTTATGGAACGCATTGATATTGTAATTATATCTGAGGAATTCTGTATAGATTAGAGGATGTTGAAATGAATGATTTCTATGCTGAGTTGTGCTGGTGTATGTGTGAAGTGAGTGAGTTGGGTGTATTGTGTACTAAAATTTTCTGATAGAGGAAGCCTGATTAAAGAATGGTCTATACTAAGGACTTGTTAGATCTAGTTCCTTCTCCACTTAATAATTATATGCTATTTCTATATTTTCATTCTTCTATCACCTGTCTTGCCTTTTCCATTATTTTATTATGAAACTTGTGTAAATACAATTTTGTTTCTGTACTTTTTGGCATAACATAAATCTGTGAACTTGAAATTTTAATTTTGTGTTAGAATTTTTTGTTGTTTGTTTAGTCTTGTCTCAGATTTTATTATGTAAATCCCATTATTCAAAGTTGCCTAAATCCATTTGGAAATCTTAAAAAAAAAAATTGGGGATTCTTAAAGTGAATTTATTGGCTTTTCTGATCCAGTTTTGTTTGGACCAAAAACCAGTATTGTACAAAGTATTAAGCATATATTTTTATATATTTACTGAAATGGACTGTGGTGACTTTGGATAATAAGGAAAAGTTTAATATTAAAGCCATGTTTATTACAGTATAATTAACATGTTAAACCATGGGATAAATGCCATCAATAAAAAATTGTGAAATCCTTTTTGTTCTAGTGTTAACTCTGGAAGGGAACCTTTTTATAAAGGTTAATTAAGGGTCAGTTAGAAGATAAACTTCAGAGAATGCTTTTAAGTGATTTGGATAACTCCTAAGTCAATGGGGAAGTGTCTGAATTTACAACATATTGAAAGGTACCTGCTTTTTTGTCTGGTGCTAGGAATCATGCCTACTTTGCATATAAATTGACGTACCTTTTTAAAAGTTGGAAATAAACACACAGTCATTTCTGTTTGTACTTGTATTTTCCTTGATAGGTGACTAGACACTGGTTTTTGATGGAGTTCTTGGAGATACATGGCCCCAGCAGCCCACAAAAACTTGAGTGGTCCTTTTGTGTAACTTTTTAAAAATTATTTTAGCGATTTTTTTTTTAACTGGATTTCTTTTCTGTGGTCCATAAAAGAGCTGGGTGGAGAGGAGGTGGTGATGGTGGCAGACAACATTTGGTAATTTTATTCTTCAGTTTGAATGCACAATTATATTGTGCTGACTTATTTTGCTGAACTTGTGGTTGGAATGTAAACTCAGAACTTTTAAAAATGTTTTGGGTTTTTGCCGTTATTTATAATGAAAAGGTAATTTTTCATAGTCAAATATATTAGGCCATCATCAAATGCTGGTTTGGGGGTAGAAATTTTGTATTATAATACATATTTGATATGGATCTGTGATGGTGAAGGTTAGAAGTGAACTGGAATTTGTGGTTTCACTGCTGAGAAGTTAATGCCTAACTAAATTGCAGGTTCATGCATTCTCAGCCATTCTTTAGGCCCATACGGATGGGAATTAGGCATTCTGCTGTGCTAGAAAGGTTGTTGTTTTTTTACTTAGTACCTTTTTTTTAAACAAGTGACTAAAAGCCATGAAGTGGCTTTTCTTAAAAATGAAATCATCTGCGCCCCGGCAACTGAAGTATACAGGGCTTGGAACTTGTTTTTTCCATCTCAGTGGTTGAAATTCTCAGGCTGCATATGGCAACTTGAGTGCATTCATGGTAGCAGCTGTAACTTCCAACCTGTCCCTATTCAAGCTCAGCAGAGGTATCTCCTTATCAGACTGGCTCAGGCTATAGAACCACTTCTGATACACTCCCTGTGGCTGTGATAGCTTATATGCTCCATACATAAGTAAAAATTGGGGGCTGCTTATGGAAGGGTGGTAACATGACAAAACAATATTGACCACTTTTCATGCTGGACCAATGAGGAATTGTTTTTTTTTTTTTGTTTTGTTTTGTTGTTTTTTAAATATGTTCTTACTTATTTTAGAGAAAGGGAGTGGGGAGAGCAACATTGATTGGCTGACTCCTACTGTGCCCTGACCTGGAATCGCCTGCAACCTCTCAGTGCATGGGACGAAGCCCAATTGACTGAGTCACACCAGCCAGGGTGAGGAGGAATTGTTTTTAACTGAAAACAATCTCTGAAGAGAGAAAAGCCTTATGTAGAAAGATTGACTAATCAGGTTTGTTTATATAATTTGGTCAATAGACAAGATGGTCAGTAGTTCTCACTGAATGTACATCCATATAACTTGTGTTAGATGTATATTCTAGGACAGTGATGGCGAACCTTTTGAGCTCAGCATGTCAGCATTTTGAAAAACCCTAACTTAACTCTGGTGCCGTGTCACATATAGAAATTTTTTGATGTTTGCAACCATAGTAAAACAAAGACTTATATTTTTGATATTTATTTTATATATTTAAATGCCATTTAACAAAGAAAAATCAACCAAAAAAAATGAGTTCGCGTGTCACCTTTGACATGCGTGTCATAGGTTCGCCATCACTGTTCTAGGACCTCCTCATCAGAGATTAATTCACTGGGTCTGGGCAGGGTCCAGAAATCTGCATCATTAAATAAGCACCTGGAGGACTTGCCACTTTAAGTACTAGGTTGTTTTGAGTGATTTATGATTTCAGGCATTAAGAAAATTCAGACAATGGGAAAATTTGTCTTTAAGCTAGCTGCTTATTTTTTTTATCATCATCCGAGGATATGTTTTTATTGATTTTAGGGAGAGAGAGAAACACCGATGTGAGAAACATCAATCAGTTGCCTGTCATACACACTCTGACCAGGGGTTAAACCTGCAACCTAGGTATGTTCCCTCACTGGGAATTGAACCTGCCACCTTTTGGTTTATGGGATGATGTGCCAACTAACTGAGCCACCCAGATGCTTATTATTTGTTAGAAATTCTCCCCTGAAATTGTGTTAAGATTTTATTTTAAATAAAAGTGGTGGACTAATTTTAACAATTTATAATCAAGCCTTAAACTTTCTGGTTTAGCCTGGGAAGAATTTGTATTTGTTTCAATTGTATTAGTACAGTCATGCATTACTTGACCCCGGATACATTGAACAATTTGTCATTAGGCGATTTCATTGTTGAGCAAACATCATGTAGTGCATTTACACAAATCTAGATGGTATAGCCTACTCCACACCATGGCTATTGCTCCAAGGCTACAAACCTGTACAGCATGTTACTGTATTGAATACTGTAGGCAGTTGTAATGCATCATGCTATAACATAATGGCTGTCTGGTTACTAGGCAATGGGAATTTTTCAGCTCCATTATAATCCTAGGGACTACTGTTATACATTTGGTTCATTGTTGACCAAAACATCATTAGGCAGGACATGACTCCATTTCATTTCCTGGGTCTGTTTATATATCAAGTTTGAAACTCAATGGAAATTTTACAAAGGCTAGCCTGTGTATTTAATGGAAATTGACAAATTTGGTATAGTAAAAATGAAGAACTGGGTGTGTTGGGTCCAGCTACACACAGCTGCAGTATGACCATGTCAGTGCCTTTATTTCCTTACTAGAGGCCCAATAAACAAAACACACGCATGGGTAGGGTCCCTAGGCCTGGCCAGCTATTAGGGCTGATCTGTGGGGCAATCAGGGGGCCTCCTGCTGGCACCGACCTTGGCTGGCCTGGGGTCAGCTCCTGCGTTGAGTGTCTGCTCCCTGGTGGTCAGTGTGTGTCATAGTGACTGGTCGTTCCGCCGTTCAGTCGATTTGCTTATTAGGCTTTTATTATGTAGAATAGGATAATACAGGCAACTTTTATACACTTACCTCAGAAGTCCACTCTAGTTCCATGATGGGCTGGACTCAGAACAGCACCTTGTCTGTCTACAGGACTCAGACCAGGCCATAAAGCTACATTTGAGTTTATCCTTCATTATCTTTGCCTTTGAAGAACTTGTTTTGTGCTCTGTCTTCTAGATTTATAAAGATTAGAACAGGAAATGCTTGTGAGATCAGAACTAGGTTTAAATTGCCCAGCTGACTCATTTATTAGCTATGTGACTTGAATTTCTGGTTCCTCATGTGTATGGGTCCTTACTATGTTGCATGATAGTTGAGGTGGTTAACCACTTTAAGACAGGAAAGTTTAACATTAAGCCTAATCATCTATGGGCAACTTTGAATGACTTGCTAAGATAATATATTCCAAAAGTGGATGATGATTTTGGTAGTCCTCTATTTCTGAAAGCATTCTAGTTGACTGTCGTGGCCACTCTGAAGGCAGAAAGCTGTATTTGGAAGGAAGTTCTCCCTTTGGAGATTCTAAAACCTCAATGAAACAGGCAAAACATAAAACCATTGGTGACCAAGTATTTATTGAGACAAAGAATACAAATTGGTGGCATACAAATTATTAAAAATAGAATGCTGTATTTATTTATAGGCCAGGCCATCAGGTATTATTTGTGGGTCAAGCCCTACTATAATGGCTGTAAGGATATATACAGTTTGAAATGACAAACTTCACCCAGTCAAGTACTAGTACATGAAAAAATTTCAAACTTTGGTATGGGAGGTGGGGAATGGCAAGTAATTGAAATGATACTTGTCAGTTTTTAGGAATACTGTTATTTATGAATATTCTTCAAAAGAAACAAGAGCCTGGGATAGATGCAGAATGAAAATATTTAATGCCCCCATTCCTCTCAAAAAGCCCTTTATTCCCAAGTAACAAATTAATTTCCAACTCCTACCTTCTTTTTGCTGGAAATATTTATGCATTAGTGAAACATAAGGGAACATCTTTTTTTTAGAGTTAAAATATTTTACTACCATTTGAAACAAAAAACACTGAAGATGCATTTTTATAATTCAGACAAAGTGGCCCTCTAATATAATACATCCCCCCCCCCCCCCCCCCCCCCAATCCTACATATTTGGGTAAAACTGGAAGGTAAATGTTTAGGTAGAAAGAAGAAACTTCTGAACCAGTCCTACTCAAGTATCAGTTGGGCAATATTTTAAAGGCTTACTTTAAGAAGTGTTGACTTTATTTCTGTGGTCACAGATTAGTCTAAAAACAAGGCTTGCCATCACTCACACATACCTACTCTAGGCCCAGGGTAAATATAAGTGTCAGACTTTCCCAAGATGAACTAGACACTCAAGTTACGTTTGGTAATGAGTACTGAGATTTCCTAGAGGCCTGTGGTTTTTAGGGGACATTCATAGAAAGTGTGTTCTCGCTCAGCTCAACTCCTAATTTTTGTTTCATTATTTGTTTATGTTACAAAAGTGATGAATAATGTTTGTACTATAAAGATAACTTTCTGCCTTTAGGCTAGAGCTTCAGCATGAGAATTATACTTTGACACAGAAAAATCAGCATTTCTATAAGACATATACTAAAATAGAAAGTACTGAAAAGAGGGATTCTCCACTCTTCACCACTCCAAGAGAAAAAATGGCTCCTCCATCCTCCCCGTTGTTTTGTCACTTTTTCAATTATTTGGGAATCAAAATCTTTTCCTTAGAGCTGAATTCATACATAGAGTTGGATTTTTTTTGTTATAAAAGCAGACAAAATAATACTATATATAGTATAACTTGAATCCTGAGATGGATCTAAATGAATCTACACATATGTACAATGTTTTAAGTATAACAAACCAGACTACTTGTTTGCTCTGTTTTACTATATAAATAAAAATAGCCTAGGTGGTAAACCATCCAATACCTGAGAGGAAATGATACATTAAAGGTAAATTCCAGAATTACATGACTGAAGGGCATTTCAACTTGAATTTCAATCAGTGCCAAAAATGTGTGTGTGTGTGTGTGTGTGTGTACACACACACAGTGGTAAGTTTATGTAACATTTCCTAATTTCTAGTCTAATAAAATTTTAGTTTTATTACTTTTTATTGTGAAGGGCCATCACAACTTCCCAGAGGTTACAAGTGAATGAACTGTTTAATACTATGATACACTTAACTGACAGGCTATCTGTGATGATGTATTTAATATAACTTATTTTGAAAAACATGGTTTATGCAGTTTTACAAAGGGTATTAAGGATACTGTTAAGGTTTCTATAACCATTAAATGTGAATATTTTCAGTTTTAAATATAAAAAAAAAAACCACTTTAAAAATTGATACAGTGATAGACGTGTCTTCCATTTGCTAATAAACTTAACACCAAAAGTAAAGCGTAGAATGACCCTTTAAGCAATCTATTTATGAACTTGTCCAACACAGTTTAGTGTTTTGTTTTTTGAAGATTATCAGAGTTGGAGAAATGTCTAAGAAACAAAACTTTTAGTTCAGGTATATCTCAACACAGCTAACTGGATCATCTAACAAAAGCAACCACACACTTGAAACAACTTTGCTTCAATAGGAAAATAAATTAAAATAGCAATACACAGTGTTACTTAGCTTAACTTTTCCTTCAAAACATCATCCATGGCAGGCCCAAAACACAAGCTTTTGGCTCACACAACCAAAGAACTTAGAATTATGTCTGGAAATGCTATTCTTCCTTGTTTTAGAACAGTCCATATAGGGAAATTGCTAATATTTCACAGGTTACCAGTATTCATGAAATACTCAGATTATTTAACTTGACGTTCAAAAGTTATGGAACTATATCAAATTTAAAAGGAAACTAGTGTGTAGATATCCTGTGTGTAGAGAGAAGTTATATTCAGAACACTGAAAAGCACTAATACTTCATGCTGCACACATACTGGGAATATTGTTTTACAGTAAATATGCAACAATTTGATGGAAGTAATTCCCCTCCCCCATATTTATAGTTTGATTTGGAGCACTGAAAATACTTGCACATGAATTTTAAGTTAAATTTACAATGAAAAATTACCCCCCTCCCCATTGAAAGCAATCATTAACTTAGCTTCTCTTTTAAAAAAAAGTTAATATAGCAATGACAATACTTTTTCATCATCATGCAAAACTCTGCCCCAAAATACATGTTGAAGCATTAACAATAGTTGTAAAGTTACATCATTCCCACAGTAAACTGCAGTGCAGATTTTAAAACTTTAGGTAAGGGATCTGCTAGGCCTGCCTCACTTGCCTCTTTCTCTTGCAGCGAACTCACCACCTCCTGGGATGGGAGATGAGTGGATTATCAAATTTGTGTCCCCATTCTCCCCAAAAAGCGAAGACAACAATTTCCCCAAGAAGTGTTAACTAAAAGATGAATGTGTTTATAAAACACAACTGGACATTTTCCATCATTTTGGGATAAACCAAAATAAATTCTTAAAGTTTCATTTAGAGATTTCAAAGCTGAAAATGCTTTCAGCAAATTCTAATGCCTTAGATCTTAGTATATTTTGTCCATTGTTGATTATGAAACCACTTGACTTCTTTTTGATCTAAAATTTTAACACTTGAATTCAAACAGGTTTTTCTTCTGGAAAAGTTCTTTGGCATTCAAGTAAAATCAATACTTTCAGAATAGTCACCTGTATCACACTGGAGTGACTGCTTTAATTTCTAAATCATCAATTAACGTAACCCAGGGATACTGATGGCCTTGATACATAATTTAGTCTTGTCATCATTCCAGAAAGTATGGAATTCAGGGCTTTTGGGGGCATCATCTGACCCCATTTCTTTTTAGCACAACGGTTCCTGCTACAATGTCATAGGCTGTTCGATTATGCTGAAAAAACAGCAGTGTGATGAAAGCAGGGAAAAAAGAAGCAATAGAAAAATTCTTGATCAATGCTCGTATAGTGGACCTAAAAATAAAGGAAGTAAAAAATATCAGATAATTTGTATACATACCACATATAGATGAATATCTTCCTATCAAGTCCAAAGTATGTATTTAAAACATTCATAATTGAGAGAAATTTTACCTTTGATATCTGAGTTATTTTCAAGTATCCTATCAAACCATCTCAGCTAGTTCTAAAAACTTCATCAACATAAAAGACTAGAACTTTCACATGAAAAGCAGTAATATGTCTTACAATGTGAACTAAAGTTTATAGTATTTTTTAGTATTTTGCCAGAAGAAAACTATTTACTTCCCTTTTAAAAAAAATATATTTTTTATTGATGTTTTTACAGAGAGGAAGGGAGAGGGATAGAGAGTTAGAAACATCAATGAAAGAAAAACATCGATCAGCTGCCTCCTGCACAC